ACATCAATGGATGAATGGATAAGTGGTATGTATATACAATGGAATATTATTCAGCCATAAAAGAAGACAATCTTGTCATTTGTGACAACATGAATGGACATGGAGGGCATTATGCTAAGTATAATAAGTTAGGCAGAGAAAGACAAATACTGTATGACTTCACTTATATGAGGAGTTAAAAAACAAAAAAAAAAAACAAGCTCATTGATACAGAGATTGGTGTTTGCCAGAGGTGGGGCCTGGGAATAGATGAAATGGGTGAAGTGGGTCAAAGGATAAAAACTTTCCATTATAAAATAAATAAGTCATGGGATGTAATGCTTAGCATGGTGACTACAGTTAATAATACTGTATTGTGCATTTGAAAGTTGCTAAGAAATTGATCTTAAACATTCTTATCACAAGAAAAAATATTTGTAATTATGTACAGTGACAGATGTTAACTAGACTTATTGTGATTATTTCTCAATATATACTAACATCAAAAATTATTTTGTACACCTGAAACTAATATGTCAATTATACATCAAAAAACAAAATAAGTATTTACATTGAACTTTTTTCCTCTTAGAGAAGTTCAGAGAGAACCTAAAATAATGGGCAACTCAGGCTTATCTAAATACCAATATTTTAATTAACACAGTAAGTTTTATATGGATCATTCACTCTTGCATTAAGAAAAGACTTATGTTAGTTTTAAATAAATACTAAATGCTAAATATTCCACTTTGTATTTGTCATATAATAAGCAATTTATTTGATCTTTGACCAAGTTCCTGGCACAAAGCTCCTAAGACCTGGTAAATGACAGGAACCTTATTTGTTATTAATTACACCAGAGTTTATAATAAGGTAACTTAGTCTGGGTTCCTATGTAGTCTCAGGATGCTGTTGGTCACCAGAAAGACCAAGGAACAGAGGGTTGGAAATTTTACCTCTACCCACTGACCTCAAGGAAGAGGCTGAATGCAGATTAAGCTTTATAAAAGCTCTTGAACAATGAGATTTGACAAACTTTCTGGTTGGTGAATGCATCCACATGGCAGGAGAACCTCATGTACTCAGGACACTCCCAGACCTTGCCCTATGAACCTGTTCATCTGGCTATTGATCATTATCCTTTATAATAAACTGATAAACATAAGTAGATGTTTCTCTGAGTTTTGTGAACCACTCTAGAAAAATAATCGAACCTAAGGAAGGGTTATGGGAACCTCTGACTTATAGCCAGTCAATCAGAAGCATAGGTAACAATCTGTGGATTTTCAATTGGTGTTTGAAGTGGGGCAGTCTTGTGAGACTGAGGCCTTAACCTGTGGGATCTGATGATATCTTTAGTTAGATAGCATCGAAATTTAGTTCGATTGTAGGAAATCCAGTTAGTGTCTACTGAGAATTAGACAATTACTTGGTGGTATTGGAAAAAAAACATATTGGAGTACTGAAACATATTCCAAAATATATAAAACAAACAATTTTTAAACAGGAGTGCTATTATTTTATTTAATGACATAAATTAACACGAGTTGGAATTATGTTGGAAGAAAACATCCATCACAGATTTTCAAATGTAAATAATACTAAAATTTATATGGAAAAATAAGCAAGAATAGAAAGAAAAGTATCTGAAAAAGGAGTGCAAAGAGAGATTAGCCCTGCCACATAGCAAAACAATTATGAAACCTTATTAAAAACTTCAAAGCATAATACTGTCTAATGGATAAACAAGTCGATGGAACTGAATATAAAATCCAGAAAAAGCCCAAACACATGTAGGAATTCAAATGTAATAAATGCAGCATCTCAAATAAGCAGAAAAAAAATCAGTCGATAGTGTTGGGACATCTGGAAAAAATTGTATTGAAGCCAGATACGAACTAAATGAATCAAAGATTTAAATGTTTAAGGAAACTCTTAAAAGAAGAAGAAATCATTGGGAAATTAAAACCTTGAGGTGGGAAAAGACTTTCTCTGATCTGAAGTTCAGAAGTCATAAGAGAAAATAGTGATAAATTCCATGACATTAAAAACACATACAAACAAATAAAACTACACAACAAAGCCCATTCTAAGTAAAGACAAATAACGTATCTGGAAAAAATTTGAAATTCATGTCACAGACAAAGGGATAACTGACCTAGTATATAAAGAATTCCTGCAAACTGATAAATGGCTAACAACCCAATAACAAAATGTAGACTAGAATAGAATATACAGGTTATGAAAAGGAAAAAAAAAATCTCTAAATCATAAAAAGGGATGGTCAACTTCATTGCAGTAAGATAAATATAACTAAAATTACACTAACATACTTTCTGCTTATGAAATGGCAAAGATCCATTTTGATAATATACCGGCAGAGGGTACGGGGAAATAAGCATTATGTATAGGAGTAGAAATCAGTACTACTCTGTAGAGCAATTTTTTTGCAATATTTGTCAAAAATTACAAATGTGCATACCACTTTGAGAATGTAGCCAATAATATTTTACCCACATTTGGGTAAAATATTATTTTTAAAAGTTATTCAATGCAGTAATGGTGGCAAAGAAGAGTGGGCCTTTTAGGAACGATTAGAAACAACAAAAATATCCATCAATAGGAGTCTTGCATAAGTAAATTATGGTATATCCGCAAACCAAATACTTTGAGGTCATAAAGAATAAGTGCTTTATACACCAACATGGTAAGTTCTCAAAACCATACCATTTGGGGGGAAAAAAAGACAAGGTAATAGTGTGCTACCATTAGTGTAAAAAAGGAGGGAATAAATATATGTACATATTTCTTTGAATGTGCATAAAATAGGTCTATACTTTGAATTCTACACATTTGTATGAATTCTATGCATACACACCCAAACAAACAATTTGGGGTATCAGTGAGAAGAAAAAATAAGTTGCAAAGAGAAAAGAAGTGGCAGGGAGACTTTTCACCTCATACTCCTCTAAATTTTTTAATTTTAAGCCAAGTAAATATATGATCAATTGAAAAAATTAAGCTAAAAAAGTTTTCTAATAAGCTTGTTTATTTCAAAGGACCTCTTATCCTTTATCTTAAAACTTTACTTTTATCCAAAGGTATATTAGTGTTAAATGTAGACATAAATTTCTTAGAAACAATATGATCAACATGAGAGAATATTTGTATTATCTTTGAATTAAAGTCTTAATACTTCTGAATCAATCTGCTTATTTGACTTCAGTAGCAGGTACAAACTATAAAATAATCTAGGAGATGCATCAAACTTGCTTTTTAATAATGTGCACTGTATCAAAGAACTTATCTAAAATGGTAACAAGTAAATTTGTTGGCTTTTATTTTTCAAATAAAGTGAATGAGTTTATATCTAACCATGACAGAAGACAGGAAACAGTTTTTAGATAAAGAATATCAATGAGGCTCATGGCTCCAGGACATAGACACAATAGGCAAATATGAGGGCTGGGATTGATGTACCTAATGAATGGAATAACCTAGCTAAGCAGCTGTCCAGGCATTATCGAAGATGCTGCTTGACTTTTGAATAAGAAAAAGTTCTTAAGTAGGAGGACTAGGCAATAAAGCCAAGAAATATTCTGGAAAGAAGAAATAAAAAGAGCAACAATAAATGGCATCATCATGCAGTTTCAGAGCATCAAAGATAAAAAAAAAAGTTATAAAGGATCAGAAATCAAAATGCCATTGGACATCTTAGGAACAACAGCCTATATGTAGACAGCAGAGATAACAGAAAGACAGCATTCGCTTTCAAAATTCTGAGTGAAAACCACTTCGACTTTGAATTTGAACTGTACCAATTATTAAGTGTGAGGGTATATTTTGAAAATTTTAAAAATGTCTCAAAATTTATCTTCCAAGCATCTTGTGGCATATTGTTTTCCAAAAAATGTCCACAGCAATATTTCTGGTCCCATTTGCTCTTCCAGAACCTTGCCATTCTGCTATTAAGAGGAAAAGCCTATTTTCCTTCCCTTGAATGTGGTAAAGACTTTGCAATTGCCTAAACAAATCAAATGTAGCAGAAAAGAATGACTGCAGCAGCTAAGTCACTATGACTTTCTCATAGCTCTCTCTGAGGATGCTCCTTGTAGGATCCCAGGCAATATGTTGTGAGGAAGCCCAAGCCACAGAAAGAAGACACATTTAGATATTCTAGCTGATATCTCAGGTAAGGCCTCTTATGAGCAGAGCAGAGAAGAGCTCTCTCTGATGAAATCTTCCTGAATTGAAGATTAGGGAACAAAATAAATGTATTCATTGTTTTAAGTAATAAATTTTGTTGGCAATTTGTTATGAAGCCTTAATAACCAGAACAGATTTTAGCACCTGGAAGCAGAATGCTGCTATGACCAAAAGAAAAGAAAACAAAACAAAAAAAACTAACACGAGAGTGGCTTTGAGAATAACCAGAGGTGAAAGCTAGATGTACCTTCAGGAGAGTGTGAAAGACTGAAGGGCTTCAAAGAGACTGTTAGGAAAATTTAAAAGTTCTAAAAAAACAAAACCAGTGGAAAAGTGGAAGTAATGATTAACTCCAGAAAAAAGCAAAGAGTTATACCACAGGAAAATGTAATCATGATAAAGTATTTGGCTCAGCAACAGAGAATTTTTAGAGTCAAAGTAATAAAACACCAAACACAAATTTAAGTAAAAAGTATAATATAATTTCACTGAGAAAATAAGGGGAAAGGAAGGTTTGTGAAAGATAACTAAACTCCTCATCAATCATAATGAGGTTTATAGATAATATCTAAAAATGAAAGGATCAAGAGCTAACAGTCTATATAAATTATTCAGAAAAGGTAAATATGAGAAGCATTTAAAAGAAAACACAGTTGCCTCTGAAAAGTATGAATGTATTTTTGTGAAGGTGGGGATGTGGCGAGCAGAGGAGTGCCTTTTAACATCATTTGAATTTTTAAACTATATTTTGATTACTTTGATTAAAATAAGTGAAAATAAATATATACAAACATTTTTGTTATAATTATACTTACTATGGAAATGCTGTTGAAGTAGGAGCTAAAACTGGAGGATTCTTCCAAAACTCATCCAACAGACTCTGAATAATTTTTCCAAGATCTGAGTGCATTGTAAACTGAAAGTAACAGTAATACAGAATGATCAAAATCCTTTTCAGAAAAATAGTATAACATCTCATTGAGATAACTTCACTCTAAAACAGTATTAAATCCCATTTTTGCAAGTCAAGAATTAAATGGAAAGCAAAGGATATTGTGTCAAATGAACATATTAGCAATTTATAACTTATATATGTTCTAATAGAATTAATACCATATATCAAGTTAAAAGTCTAATCAATAATGGAGCTGAAACATTTTCACACTTCAGTATTTACAATAATTTGAAGGTTCAAAGGTAAATACTGAGAGTATATTAAGTTACAGTCCTTCATGTTAATCAATCACATGCATATCCAGAGAACTTTAAGGCATATTGAATTTTATCTCTTCCTAACGACTATGGAAGATATACTTTGAACCAAAGTTCTAACATCAATAGGTCCTCACCACTGAAAAACAGCCTTTCTATCAGTACTACTATGCACTGTGAATTTTTTTTAAAATTATTGATTCCAAAACAAGATTTTAAGTGCACTTTAGATTTCTAAAATATTTAGTAGAAATGTTATATTACTCTGAAATAAATATACCATAAACATACATTGTTTACTAATGGAGAGGTAACATACACTCCTTGTTTATCCATTAAATGATGTCGTATTGGTGGATAAACACTGATCACTGGTTTTTCCTGAGGAAATTGTGGAGGGAGCAATCTGGTAAAGGTAGAACAAATGAAAAACAAAGACAACAAATGTTACATTATATAGTCATAATTCTAAAACAAAGTTAAAAGCAAATTAAATTTTTCATACTTTCATTAGGATTAATTATTCAGCAGAAAGATGCACTCTGGCAACAAGATTATAAAGTAATGCCCACACAGTAAAACCTTCTTAATGTGGAATATGGATACCCTGAATTACAGAATATTCTTCACACCATGCTAGTTAATTGCATTCAAACACAGTATACCTAGCATACAAAATCTCGAAAATAAGATCAGGCATTTGTAGCAGGTGAGTCATATTAACTTAGTCTGGCTATTTATTGGACCACAGGTCCCATGTAATTTTCTTGTGGTTTTCCTACTTTTGAAATGCTGCCAAGAATTATTTCACTATCTATAGACTTTTTAAAGAGTACATGGATAAAAATGAAAGTATCTGTAGCTGTCATAATGCCTTAGTTCTATATGGCTCTTTTCTACATGTCCCGATTAAGTCATCTCTCCCAACTTTGAGGTCAATAATCACATGGTTCAAATAAAGAACAGCAAATTCTCAATAAAAAAAAGGTGAAAATCTTAACCTTTTTTGAACTATTACAAATTTAAAATTAGAGAGCGAACCCCGTTTTCCAAATCTCCTCTAAAACTTAGAAAAATATGTCTCTCTAAATTGCCTCTCTGTTCCTCTGTTGGCTCAGAAAATAATTTCCTGGCAGCAATGTCAAGAAGAAAACTGGGTCCTTGTTGGCTTCTCCTACATAGCTCTACTTAGGGCATTTGAAGAGAAATAAAACTACTTCATTTGTATAGTTGAAAATGTTAAACTAGTTTGGTTAAAAAAGGCAATGAATGAAATGGCCTTTGGAGCCTACTCAAACTGAGTTTGTATCATGACTATGCTATTCACATCTGTCTATAAATGTGCCCCAATTTTCAGGGTTACTATAAGGATTTAAAAAGTTCCTATATATCAAGATAACATAGCATAATGCTTTAATTCACTCATTTAACTAGGATTTAATTAGGCCTCCTATGTGCAGGCACTATGCTAGGCAATAAGGATATGAAGATGAATAAACCATGGTTCCTGTCTTGAAGTTAGGTGCATTTTCTCCAGCTCAAACACTGGCTCTAGCAACCAGCAATCTGAGGTAGTAACCCAATTCTTTCATACTAAAGACTAATAATTGCACTTGAGGTTAAATGAGTACTTCAGCAATCACTTTGTCCAAACTTTCCTCTTTATAACTTAATAACCTCATGATTATATTTTTAATGTTTTTTCTTTAAAAATAATCAGATTACATTCAGCCTTGAACTTTCTTGTTGTTGCAGTATACCTGATTCTGAAGACTAAACTATTTTTAACTTTTTTCTAATGTAAGGGTGACTATATCTCTAATGGTTTTCCATACATGATCCCTTTTTTCATCATTACTCATTCATTCTATCTCCAGTTAAGACTTTAGTGAAAATCGATGAAACTGATTACAGTACTAATGATTATTACACCTTTTTATTCCATTTCCTTTTATAGTTTCTTTCTTACAGCGATATATATTACAATAGCTTTACAAAATTTTTATTTTACAAAATTGTGTAACTTTGATAAGTTATAGTTACTAGAAAGGGCATATCTGAAATCTGTTTGAACACTTAACTTCTAAAATAACCAAGAAACAAAATAATAAAAATATTTTTTAAGTTTTATTACATAAAAAGTAGGATACAATTCTACTCACATATTAATGTTAATTGTCAGGTTGTTTATGGTGCATGGCAACCTATATTCCACATCTTTCTGTATTTCAGCTATACTGTAGGAGAAAATTTGAGAAAAAAAAATTTACCTGAAGTTATAAAAACATTAATGTTAAAAACAAATGTTAAATGTTTTTAGAGCCTACTAAAACTATTTTTAGTTTTAATCACAGAATCTAGAGAGCCAATATAACTTGTATCTTGAGGGACAAATGATCACAGAAAGGTCTATCAAATAAGAGCAACAATATTCTGAGATATCCAAGTATGTGTGGGAGGTGGGTAGATGTTGAGGTAAAGAGGCAAAAAATAATTCTTGTATTAATGCTAGACTATCACTTTATCTAACTCATCATTAGAAGCAATTGTGAACTCTCTAGTTAACACAGGTCAGCAAGACATCTGATCTGGGTTCTGACTATAACTTTGCTACTAACCAGCTGTGTAGTAGACAGCTGGGGCAGTCTGGGTCTTAACAGCTTAAGCTTAAAAGTCTGGATGAGATGTCCCCTCAGTCTTATGATAGAGACTGCTGGCTGCTTTCCAAAAACAGACTTTCCCCTTCTTCCTAAGGAAGAGAAGCCTGATTTTATTCTGAGCATCAATCTTCTAGTCTGTCTCGCAGCTAGTTGATGCTATGACTTAAGTCCCAGCCAATAAGATTTAGGGAAGTTGTGGGTTAGAATTTTCAGAAAAGCATATTAAAGGGGAACAAAAAAAACTGGTATAAGCCTATTTGCCCTTCCTGCCTGGATCTCATAGCTGGACTTTTAACAGCTCAATTGGACTATGAATGAACCTGAAAACAGAAGCCAGGCACTAGGGAGAGCTAAGCAGAAAGAAAGAAGTAGCTTGGATCCTCGATGACTATGCAGTTATTAAACTGAATTTCTTCTTATGTGAGTGAAAAACAAACTTATCTTGCTTAAGTTACTATTTTGGGAGTCCTTGTTACTAGCAGTTGGATATAATTGACAACTACTCTAAGTCCCTTATACTTTAACATTCTATATTCAGAATTTTATTTTATTAACAGCAGGCATACATTATTACAAGTATAACTTGCAAACTAAATTTGCGGGGACTCACTTGGAACCCTAACATTCATAATATTTCCAAAAAGAAAAATGTTAAGTAGTATTAATGAGTTATAGTTACAAGGAAGCTTAATATTCGAATGGAGATAAACTTTTTCAAGCATAAATATCCTTGAAAGATCTAGCATTTACTTAATAATTTACTTTTTATTCTTTTGGCTGCATCAAGAAAACCTTATTTTCCTCATTTTTTTGACTATTACATTTTTTGGCCTTCTGATAAAAACCTACCCTATAGAATATGTAAATTTCAAGTAGCTTGAAAGGTTCAAAAGTGTTGAAATAAGAATTATGGAGGTCATAGGTATTAATAAACTTTCTCCTCTGATATCCATGGAATGGGTTTATGACTGAGAAGAAACAGCTAAGAGACTCAATAAGCTATCCAATATTAGCACTTAAAATTTTTATCAAAGTTTCTCCTTGGGGATCAAGTTTGAACTAGGATACTGACAGCCTCTTCAGTTGTATGAATACCACATAATCAATATAAAGTTTTTTTAAGAGTTTTATTCCTCTATGTTATCTTAGGACCCTAAGGTGTCATTGCTTCAAGGCAATACTGGTCACAAAAGCATCCACCAGTTCAAAACCAATTAGACCATCTTAGAGATTAAGAGCATGACCTTTTAAGTTGCGCTTCCTGGCTCAAATCCTCCCCCTCTACCACTTACCTGTGTGGTCCTGAGCAAGTTATTTAACCTAAGCCTTATCTCTCAAATGGGAAATGGGGATGTTGCAAGCATCCATCTACCTAAATGAGTTGTTAGATTAAGTGAGATAATGCACAGGAATACAAAAATCACTCAGGAACTCATATCCCCAAGATAACTATTGCCAACATACTGATGTATAACCTTCATGGACCAAAAAAGGGGTTCTATGGAAAGTAACCTCAAGGCTGATCCGATTATAAATTCATAACTGGGCAGGCCATGGTGGGTAGTCACACTCCAGGCATACTTCTTTACCAAAAGGCTTATGTTTGTCTTAAGTCCTGTTTATTGTTTCTGTGCATCTAGGTTAACACAACTTTCAAATGCCCCTTTTCAGACCCCTCAAGAGAGCACATAATCTTAACTATCCTGTAATCCAGTCCGTACATTGCTTCCTCCCACCTGCATGTAATCTTCCTTACATTCCCTCCTTAATTTCAAATGTATAAAAGAAACTGCAAAACTGTTATTCTCTGGAGCATTTGAAATCTTGCTCCCTGGCATATGTTGTCGTTTTGGCTCAAATAAACTCAAAGTTCTCTACAGGTTTGGATGTAAGAAACATCCAAACCTTCTAATCTTCTTTCTACATTCAGTCTTATTTAAAACAAAAATATAATTATACTGTATATAATTTGTTACAAAATTTAAATAACCTGCCATTAATAGTTTTATTTTCTAGGTTCTCTGAAAGAAGTGAATTACTGCAGTTTTACCTCAGTGGCTCGGAATCTGTTTGGGACTAAAGAAAGCTGGAATAATAGATAACTTTGTTAGTCAGTATATGATTAATTGGAATCCTCATTTTTTGATAGTCCCTAAAACTGTAAACAGACTTTGAAATGCAAGAGGCCCTAGTTATAGTTAAAAGATTCCTTTTGTAGAATGATCATTTATCTCCTACTTCATATTTTGTGTAAATTTGGATTTCATAAGTAAGACTTGGTTCAACCGAATAGTACCATATATCCAGGATTTTTCAAAGAAATGGAAATACAGTGATGAATACAGTATGGTCTTTGCTCTAAAGGGGCACATGGCATGAAGAGAAAGTCAAGTAACTATAAAAGATAAATTCAAGATACTGATATGCATTTCCCACAGTTTGAATAACTCAAAGACTTTTCGGTGAACCTTGCAAATAAAGGATTTACATGTAAAGACAGTAGAAGGAGAATGCATAACTTCCCTTTCTCATCTAAATCCCCAAAAAATATCAAAACAGACTTTAAAAAAGCAAATCTCTAGCAGGGCAAGAAGGCAAATAGTAACATAAGCAGAGAAAAATTTTGAGGAAACTCTGAAAGATAAAAAAGATGGGATTAGATATAAGGAAAAAGGAAGAAAAAGATAGTAAATACAGGGACTACTGACATTTCAAAATATAAGACCAATGCAAAGTAGGAACAGCTTGAAGGTCCTTCAAGCCCTTGAAGCAAATCAATGCAAACCAAGAGTGTGGAGGGCAGAGCAGGAGCATTTCTCTAAGTAATGAATGAGAAGCTGCACAACAACAGGTAGGCTAGAACACTCTCCTCTTTTCCTTGCTTGTTCAAACCAGCAATAAGATCTGTACCTGGAATAACACACTGAGGTAGCCTCTGACGCAGCAGTGCCTTAAGCTACCAATTCCTAGGAAGTCGCCATTTCTGGAAGACAACTGTCAGCTTGTCCCACATTAGAACAAGTTATTCTGTTTCATTCATCATCAGAGGTAGGCTGTGATAAACAGTTAAGTATCCACAAACAAGTCAACAAGGAATCTCAATACAGAAATGAACGCATCAAAAAGGTTTGAACAAAACAAAACCATGCAAGGCATACACCAAACTCAACAAGCACAAAATACAAAAACTCAAGGAAACAGTTAATTGGGTGAGCAAAGACTATAAATTTGTGTAATTAAAAATTTCGGAGGAACTAAAGAAAATAGCACTTGCAGTCATACACACACACAATGGTTGATAAGAAAATGAAAGAGAAACTGAAAAATTAAAACAGCTCAAATGAAAGGTTGGGATATGCCTCATACTATATCCTTCTCTTGGAGAACACTGATGTACTCTACCATGTTAAAGGCTTTGAGAAATACTAAAGTAAACTGATTGATTTTGTCTGTTTTCTAAATCTATTTAATATGTTCAACATATTTCACATTTTTTGAACAATGTTCTTGTAGAACACATAGGCTAATGACAGATATGCAAAGAACTACAGGAACACAGAAGAAAACACCTAACCTAAACAGGGTGAGGGGTGGTGGAGTCTTCTAGAAAAAATATAACTGAGCTACATTTAACAGTAAAACTTAACACTCAGGGAAATGAAGTGCACATTTTGGAGGCATCACCGTTAGACAAGCTTCAGATATGAAATAACACTGGTCTCTAATGTCTCAATATCCTTTGTCATTAAAGAAACCTTATATTCTCTGTCAACACCTTTCCATCAGTCATATCACTCTCTTCTATGACAACTAGGTATTAAACTAAGGACGGTGGACATTTCTGGGCAAGAGTTAGGAAACTACTGGAAGGAATAACATGCTCAAATTTGAATTTTAAGATTACTCTGGCAGCCATGTGGAAGAAAAAATTAAGGGAAGAAGACTGGAGGCAGAGAGAATAGTTAGAACCCAGCAGTATTCGGACTGGAAGACTGAGTGAAAACAGGATGACCAGGTTTTTGCCTTAGGTGAGCTGACAGTAGAGACAGCCTGGAAGGAGTTGAGAAATTGGAGGGGAGGGGGAGATGTGGCTGGTCTCAGTTAGCAATGGAGAAATTACTGCCTGTGTGGTAACTTTTTTTTTTAAAGTAGGTATGCACTGATACTACACTAGGGGAAAATTAACTAGAGATAGCACCTGAGCTGTTATGATCCATTTAGAAAAATTTTGCTTAAATATTGACATGCTTTATTGTGTCACATAGTCTACAATTATAACTTTTAATCACTGGTTATAAATAGACTACATGATTTAATGTATCAAATTAAAATTCACTTAACTATGGGGTTGTTTGAAATACATAACTTTAAAGTTCACTTATAAGAGCTCATGGTTCATTTATAGTCATTTGTAGATTTCTGTAGCTTCAATAAGCTAAGGCATAGCAGATTCTTGGATTTTTTTTTTTAATTGCAACAAGTTAAGGTGATTTCTTTCCGTAAGGAAGTTTTAATCCCAAATACCTACAGTTGTTAGATAATGTACGTGAATGAAGGCAATTGCTTGTAGTACAACA